GGCCCTGGAGAGCATAGCAGTGAATAAAGCAGATACAAATAATTTTTCTCATGGAGTTTACCTTCCATTGGGACAAGACTGAAAACAAACGAACTAAATAAGTGGAAATATAATTAATTAGACGGTGCTAAGTGCTATGGAGAAAAACCATCAGGGAAGGAGGAAAGGGGTACCCTGATGAAGAGGTGGAAAGAGGGTTGTAATTTGCAATGGGAGGTGGGGAGGGTCAGGGGAAATTGTGTTGAAAAGTGTCATTTGAACAAAGACCAGAAGACAGTGAGGGTGTGAGTTGCAGAAATCTGGGAGGAGAGTCCACCAGAGAGAAGGAAAAACAGTAGCACAAGTTCTGAGGCTGGGGTGTGCCTGGGATGTTCTTTTCTTCTTTTTTCTTTTTAAATATTCTTTATTTATTTATTTGACTGTGCTTTGTCTTAGTTATAGCATGCTAGATCTTCCATCTTCATTGCAGCATGGAGGATCTTTAGTTGCATCATTTCAAACTCTTAGTTGCAGCTTGTGGGATCTAGTTCCCTGACTAGGGATCAAACCCAGGCCCCTTGCATTGGGAGGGAAATCCCTGAGATGTTCAAAGTCCAATAGGAAGGCCAGTACAGGCCAGGTTAAGTGAATGAGGGAGTGAGTAGTAGAAAAAAGGTAGTAGGGCCCAAATCATTCAAGCCTTCTTTGTAGGGATTTGAGGTTTTGCTGTAGTGAGATGGGGACCCACTGGAGGAATTTAAGAAACTGAGTGACATATTCTAACTTATATTTCAATTCCAATTTACATTCTAACTTATATTTCACACTCAGCTGCTGCGCGAAAAATAAATACCAGGGCCACCAGTTAAAGAGACTACTGCCATAATCCAAGTGAATACTGATGGTAGCAGATCACCCATTAAATTATAGAATGCCTATGCAAACTACAAACTTCAGAGTCAAACTTAGACCCACTAATCCAGGATGAGGGTTCCCAGAACACTGAAGTTATCACAAGTACTCTCTAGGTATTGTTCAAGTATGCTAGAGTTTAAAAACCATTCTTCTGTAATGTCTCAGCTATCAGTTGATTGCCTCTCAGCTCCAAATTGATCCTTCACTGTCTGCTCTGCAAAAAGGGGATCTGGGCCCTTTAAATATTTGTCCTTCACCGCCTGTCACAGTGTTAAGCTTTGTCAGGAGAGAGCCCTGGAGAGACACTGCAGTGAGAAGAGGGCTTCCTTCCTGGTTCTGGGGCTCTGGCTCAGCAGCCTCCTGAGACACCGGCATCCTCTCCGTGTCCTGTTCCTGCAGCACGCAGGGTTTCCCCGGTAGCCAGCTCCTGTGACGCGGACACTGGCTCCAGCACCAGGCTCTTAGAGTGCATGTGGCTTTCCCAGCACCAGTTTCTGCGTGGGCAGCTTCTTCAGTGCCAGGCTCTGGGTGTACTGGCAGCTTTGCTAGCTAGCAACCAGCCACTGAAGCACAGGCGGCTTCACAAGCTCCCAGTTCCTTCAGGGCACGGCCAGCCAGCAGGACCCCCCAGCCAGCAGCTTCCCCAGCACCAGGTGACTTCATGCAAAGTGCCTTCAGAGACTCCACCTCCTGTGCCACGTTCCCTGCATTTTAGAGAACTGATTTACCTCAAATTCCACAGATGCGGTTACTGCTCTTCCATCCAGTGGGCTCTAGCCGCATCCGATGGTCCATTCTCCAAGAATGTCCAGATCTCAGCTTGGGGGAGGGAGGAAGGAGAGGGCAGTAGGGGACAAGTGATCTTTCTTGGGCTTCTATCTCAGTCCTGGGTGTGAGAGCTGTGCCTTACATCTGCCATTCCTGTATCTTAGAGTTCACTTTTACTTATTTCTAATCAACCCTGTTACAGTTAATATTTTCTAGAATAAATGTCTGTTTTTTTAAAATGTTTGTTTATTTGACTGCACCTGGTCTTAGTCACAACACATGGGATCTTCAGTCTTTAGTTGCAGCATGTGAACTCGCAGTTGCCGCATGTGGGACCTAGTTCCCTGGTGGTGGTGTTTAGTTTCTCAGTCACGTTTGACTCTCTGTGACCCCAGGGACTGTCTAGCCTGCCAGGCTCCTCTGTCCATGGGATTCTCCAGGCAAGAATACTGGAGAGGGTTGACCAGGGATCAAACCCAGGCTCCTTGCATTGGGAGCATGGACTGTTATCTACTGGACCACCAGGGAAGTCCCAGTAGTTACCAATTTTTATATTAATTTTTTCAGGCTTAAATTACTCTGGAGATTCTCTTACCTGATTGCACCCTGATGGATACACACAGCATCACTCACCTAGAAGAAAATTTAAAAACCCAATCTCTACATTGCCAAACCTGAATCTTTGGAAATAATTGGATAATGGAGACAAACTTCCCAGTTTTCACCCAAACTCTTGGTAGAGTTTTGTGCATGATAAACAATTATCTCTGCCTCACTGCTATTTGTCTTCAACTAGAGGAACCTAGAGAGCAGAGTCTTTCCAAACTGTTGGGATGTGGAGCCCAGCAGGGTTACTTCTGCCTGAGGGTGAGATAATGATGGACAAGCCCTTCAAGATGTATAAAAAATCTCTGAGCAGAATCAGGGACCTTCTGGAGGTTCTTCCAGTATCAATATCCTTTTGTTTTGTTTTGTTTTGTTTTTTTGTATCCCAGATACTTTTTTCTATTTTTCACCTGTTTACATTTGGAGAAATTGAGTCCACTTGGATTAGGTAGTATTACCTAACAATTATGAATTAAATTTTTTTTTAATTTATTTTTTTGTTGTGGTCACCAACTCCAGATCAGACAAGTTATAAAGAAATATCAATCCTTGAGACACATGTCCTCTAGAGACAGTTAGTCAGAAAAACTTAGAAAGCACTGCTTGATAGAAAAATAATGTGAACCATACAAGTAACTTTAAATATTCTACTAACCATATATATATATTTGGCTGTGCACCAGCTTTCCTTTAGTTGCAGTGAGTGGGGGCTATTCTCTGATGGTGGTGCATAGGCTTTAGGGAAGGCAGCTTTCATTAGTTGCAGCTCCCAGGCTCTAGGGCACAAGCTCAATAGTTGGGTGCATGGGCTTAGTTGCTCCGTGCCATGTGGGATCTTCCTGAACCAGGTATCAGACCTGTGTCTCCTGCATTGGTAGGTGGATTCTTTACCACTGAGCCACCAGGGAAGCCCTCCTAGCCATATTTTTAAAGATAACAAGCAAAATTATTTTTAATAATACAGTTAATTTAAACATATATATGCAATATATATAAATTCTCACTTAAAATGTAATTAATATTTAAAATACTACTGAGATAGCTCACATTCTTCTTTCTGGTCTTTGAAATTCAGCGTGTATTATACACTTACAACCTTTCTCGATGCAGGCCAGCCCCATCAAGTGCTCAAAAGCCATGCATGCCAAGTAGCCACCTTATTGGACAGAGTAGTTCTAGACCATCTAGCTCAGCCCCCCTCATTTTAAGCAGAGGGCACAGAATCCCCAAAGAATTTTGAGTTGTCCTTTCTAATTCACAAAATCAGTGCCATAATCTAAGATATCTGATACCTGAGCATAAGCCCAACTCTGCCCTTGATTAGCTATGTTACCTCTCTGAGCTTCAACTTCTTTTTCTATAAAATAGAAATAATAATACATCGCCAAGAGTTGTACTAAGGATTAAATAAGGGAATGGATGTAAAGCACTTAGCCCATAGTGAGCACTGGCTAAATGGAGTACTAGGTTATCATATTGGACTTCACCAACAGCATTGCCTTTCATACTCTATCAGGAAGCAAAGAAGGGCAGCTCCCGTTGCACACCACTGGCTTTGGGTGTGGGTTTAGTCCAGCCAGCAAGAGCAAGGGCACGATACTACATGTGCCCATCAAAGCTTTAGCACAGCTCTTCCTATGTTTCCAAGTTAGACAGTGAAAGTGTTAGTCATTCAGTTGTGTCTGATTCTATGTGACCCCATGGACTGTAGCCCACCAGGCTCCTCTATCCATGGGATACTTCAGGCAAGAATACTGGAGTGGATAGTCATTCCCTTCTCCAGGGGATCTTCCCAACTCAGGGATCAAACCCAGGTCTCCTGCATGGCAGGCAGATTCTTTATCCTCTGAGCCACCAGAGAAGTCCCAAGTTAGACAATAGAAAGTTGATTTTCCTTTCAAGATTCACTTTGTAAAAGTACCGAGATGAATGTTTAAAAATTCAGCAAGAAGAATAGTTACAGGGAGAAGGTCATTAAACGCCCCCGCCCATCCCAGTCCCTGGTGACCCTTAGGGTCCTGACTCACCTGGCTTCCCCATTGACCCTTCCTGCCCAGCCAGAAGCCACAGTGCTTGCTCAAAAGAAGATAATGTCATTTGTTGACATTTCCCAGGTGACAAAAAAAGCCAAGCCCTTTTAGGGATCTGAGTCTTTGCATATAATTAGCAGATCAAATTACCCTCGGGGAACTGAGGCTTGGCATTCTTCATTGTCAAGAAGAACTACAGCCTTCAGAGAAAGGGAGCAGAGACAACCACCTACACTTCTTTGGGCCTTTCTTTGTTTAAGGATCTCAAAGGGAGCAATAAATAAGAGAGGCGCACAGCGTTTCAGGCTCTGCTTCTCCTTTATCTTAAAAACTTACTTCCGAGGACACGTGCTCTGGAAGTTGGAGCATAAACTGAGATCAGCAAATAGAACATTTCACTTTCACTTAATAGGTATCTTTAGACACCCTATCATTTGTAAAATACTTGGTTAAAAATCATTTTTAAATTTCAAGAAATTTACAATCTATTTTGAAAGAAAATGTGGAAGAAGTGGGTTTATGTCATGCAGATGACAACATGATATAACGTGTATCATCTATGATATTAAGTATCAGTTTATAATTATATCTATGTAATTACTACTGCAGTTTTAGTTTGTTCATTAAGAAGACTAAATATCTGAAGCCACAACACTTAGTTATGAAGAGGTATGAAATGACATCAGGCTGGAGGGGTTTTTGTTTTTGTTTTCAATCCGATGTGATATATTTATAAATTACAAGGTCTTCAGCTTTTAAACAGGAAGGGAATTTGGACACAGGCTATAAAATGCATGAACCTTGAAGATATGCTAAGTGAAATAAAACTGGCCTCAAAAGGAAAAGAACTCCATGATCCCATTTACACAGATCCTTAGGGGAGTCCAGTCTATACAGATAGAAAGAATGGTGGTTGCCAGGGGTTGGAGTTGGCGTAAACAGTTGTTGTTTAACAGGTGGATGGGTTGGGAGATTTTTTACAAGACGAAAGACTCAGGTAAAAATCTTTAGGGAGGAGGCAGAGTTTGAAACATCAATTGAGTTTAAATGAAATCGAACGGGATTCCAGGGGAGAGGAGACTTGAGGCGAAGGTCAAAGGAAGGAAAGTTGTGGAAGGCCGGGCGGGGGGTGGTGGTGATGGTGGTGATAAAAGAGATGGGTAAGGCTGATGGCAAGCAGGAATGGGGAGTACACTGGAGATGGGGTGGTACCATGTTTTGCCAATGGGTGACTTCATCAGCCCCTCCATGCCCAGTCCTTGCTTGGATGGTTTCAGCATCTCTTCCACGCTTAGCCTTGGAGAGGGAGTGACTTGCAAAGCCCCCACAAGGCTGCTGCCCCAGCCTGAATGAATGCCAGGCTTCAGAGGTGTGGTTGCACATTTTAATTTTCTGGTACCAGCCTTCACACTGGGACACCCGACCTTTCTTCTCATGCTTCTAGCCACACGGAGACTTGCCCAACAATGGAGTAAGCGATGCAGACTTGACCTTGAAGTACAGACTCAATAAGAGGAACATGATGAATAAAAATGATAAGTGGGAGAAGATGCATTGAAAGTTGACTAAGAAAAGAATCACAGCCACTAGGCTTCTTGGGAATCTGAGAACTTTTTAATAAATCTTGTCTTGTTGCATTCATGCCTTGGGCTTGGTTTCTCAAAGAGAACATCATGGAGGGCAGTGAAACCCAGAAACTAATGAGCAGGCTTCCTCCACAAAACTAGAGGAAGTTTTAGCTATATTGACTTTTAATGCACCCAAGGCATTTTTCTCAGTACACTCTATTGTACTGATAGCTGCTTTACCTGATTTTGCAAAACAAATAACTGTCACAGGAGCTGATCCTAATGACCGCTTATCCTTTGAGTGCCTTATCTATGACCCCTCTTTTAAAGAAAGTTTGCACTTTCAGACTTCTTTTTCCTTCCTACAGAGTTTTTCTTAAGAGTCTAGCAGAATTCCTTTAAAAACAAATTTTAAAAGCAAACTCACCCGTTTAGTTGCCTTGGTCCTTAAAAAACCCTTCCCAGTGAATCTTCTCTAATTCCCTGACAAACTTCTTTGCTCTCTGTAAATGGTGCTGACAAAGGAAAATCAAATTAAAGTGTTAGTCCCAGAATTCCATCACCTGAGTGTGTTTGAATGGCTTTTTCATCCTCAGACTGTAATCCTGCTTCAGCCATTAGCACTTTTCCTAAGAGGAGACAACTTTCTAAAGTTACACCTGCAACCGAAAAAGCTGATGTCAGCCAAAGGCTGTCATTCGTCATGGGTTGTCTTTCCCTTTGCTAAAGAACTGAAATCAGATGAGTTGCTGACATCTGGTGGTTGCTAAGCAGAGTGTAAGCTGGGTCTTAAAGGACTTCTACCTCAGATTATAATAAACTCCCCAGCCTCCAATTCTTGGAGGCCTCCCCTCCAACTAAGAACACTTCTGTATCCAAAGGGAAAGCAAGAATGCAAACTAAGAAGCAAAGGAAACAATGCATTGAGAAGAGGCATGTTGGCTACCAGAATGAAAAGTGAAAACTTACCTTCTCTGGAAGTGACTTCCAGGATTTGAACAAAGATTTAACTTGGCCCCAACATATCCAGAGTTTGATTGTGAAAATCCCCTGGAGTAGGAAAGGGTAACCCACTCCAGTATTCTTGCCTGGGAAATCCCACGGACAGAGGAGCGTGGTGACCATAGTCCATGGGGTCACGAAGAGTCAAACATGACTGAGCGGCCAAACAACAACATACCTGATGGGTCCTGGGAGGTGGGATTCCTTTTTGATTGAAAGTAACATTTTTGTTGCAGCTGGAAATAATTCTTCTGCTTCTTTTCCCTTTATTACTCAACCATTTTAAACAGTTCTCCATCTGTCTGTGGCTATAGAGTGGAAAGTGGCTTCCAGAGCATTCTGAATTCTTCTGCTCTCCTGTTTCTCCACACACTGAGCGAGACCAGGAGCTGGTGAAGTGGAATGGACCTCAGATCCTGCCCCCAAAGTGTTTGAACTCCATCTTCAGAGAGCTCAGGTGGAATCTTTGTTCTGGATGGGACGAGCACATCCACCAACAAGACTCCCAGAGCCCAGAGGCATGTCAATAACTCCAGAATCACACTGGAGAGGAAGGGTTCCCAGGAGCTGCAGGCAGAAAGGAGATTAGTCATCTTTCGAAAATGACATTTGAGTTCTTCATAGCTCATCACGAAAGAGATGTATTTTGTTCATTTATTTGCTTTCTTGGTTTTTGCATTATCTTCTTTTGGTTTTTCCCTCTCTATTCATCACTCCTGCCCCTTAAGCTAGACAGTAAACTTGAGAGCAGGAACTTTGCCTCGTTCACCATTTATATTCCCAGCATCTGAAACATTGTTTTTGTTGTTGTTGTTCGGTTGCTAAGTCATGTCTGACTCTCTGTGACCCCCTGGACGGAGGCACGCCAGGCTCCCCTGTTTTGCACTATTTCCCCGAGTTTGCTCAAATTCAAGTCCATTGAGTTAGTGATGCTATGCATCCATCTTATCCTCTGCCACCCCCTTCTCCTCTTGCCTTCCATCTTTCCCAGCATCAGAATCTTTTCCAATGAGTCAGCTCTCCACATCAGGTGGCCAAAGTGTTGGAGCTTCAGCTTTACCATCAGTCCTTCTAATGAATATTCAGGGTTGATTTCTTTTAGGATTGACTGGTTTGATATCCTTGCAGTCCAAGAAACACTATTTAGTACATGGTAAAATTTCCAAACATTTGTTCAACAGAAAGAATGACAATATACTCCAATAGTTTCTCTTAAAATCAGCCAGGAGTGCCTGCCTTACCCTCCTTTACTTTAGAAAGCCCAGAGATGGTCATGTCTGGAGACACCACGCAAGTGCCATAATGCCTCTAGATTTGCCCCATTGATTGACAGTCTGGAGCAAAGGTCAGACACCCAGAGGCCAACCTGAGCACCTCCAAGGGTTCCTAGAGGATGATTGGTATTAGCAAGAGTGAAGACTTGCCTTCACCACAGGACCTTCCAAATGCTCCAGAGAACTGAAGGCAGATGTCTTTAGGGGTAAGTCTGAGTACATTGCCACATAGGTTCTGGGTGCGGAATAGCTCTCTGGGTATGCATGAGTCTGTGGGGGCTTGGGGAAGTGTGTTGGAAAACTTTCCCTCTGTCTCCAGCTAAATGGTTTCCTGAGGAAATGAGAAATGGAGATGGGGTGGGTGGGAAGGAATGAAAAATTTCCAGCAAGGAAAAAAAATGAGTTTTTTTCCTTTGAAACAGGGAGTTATTGGCAGATATGAAATTCCAGGCTCTATGTGTATTAGAAATACAAAAGGCTCTGAATTTTTTTTTTTTTTAATTTTAAACATGGAGTATGAGACACTAGAACAAACACTTCAAGAATAACATTTTTGAATTGAAGGGTTTGGGGGATCTTAGACCAAAGTGATCAAGACCCAGGGTTCGTGTCCCTCCCCACATAGTCCAGCAAAGCAGGTACTTTCTGATATGCATTAATATAGTTTATGTTTACATTGCTGGACACCATGTGGACTGAAAGGGCCTCTTTATCTTTAAACAAACAGATGAGGAAGAAGGATCTCCCCCACCCCAGCTAGACCTGGACCGGTGAGGCCACACCATGGGTTTTTCCACTCCAGCTACCAATCTTTCCTTGTTTGTGGTTTGAAAGAAAAAAAGAGAAGTACAGGAAATGGGAGGTGTAATCCGCAGGTAAGTCCACTCTGTTTCAGCAGACCTTGAAATAAGTAACTTGGTCTGACTTCCTGAGCATTGGGTGGAACTGAGAGTATGAGGATTTGTGGGGACTACTTTGAGTCTCCCCCCACCCAAAACACCACCCACACCACCATCAGGTTTCCTGTAACCCTTAGGCGGTGCTCGTGTGCAGGGTCTCTGCCTACACGCCACGCAGGAGGTAAGAGAGTGTCATCAGCAGCAGTCCTAACACCACCAGCAGGCCTTTGTGAAGCGAATGTCTTCTGCACACAGTACTCTGCTAGATGGTATAGAAGACAATCACAGCCACCACTCTGTCACCTTAGAGTGTATGGTCTCAGAATAACCTACCAGCCTTCTCAGGGGACATCAAGTGTACTAATGACAAGGTTATTTTTGTTTCTTTTGTTTTTACCGTTGTGGAGAGGAAGGTCACAAGTTTTTGTGTCAGACAAAACTAGGCTAGAATCCCAGTTCTTTCACTCATTAATGTGTGACCTTGACCCAACTGTAACTCAGTTCCCTGGTAGCTCAGTTGGTAAAGAATCTGCCTGCAATGCAGGAGACCCCGGTTTGATTCCTGGGTCGGGAAGATCCACTGGAGAAGGTATAGGCTACCCACTCCAGGATTCTTGGGCTTTCCTGGTGGCTCAGCTGGTAAAGAATCCGCCTGCAATGTAGGAGACCTAGGTTTGATCCCTGGGTTGGGAAGATCCCCTGGAGAAGGGAAAGGCTACCTACCCGCTCCAGTATCTTGCCTGGAGAATTCCATGGACTGTATAGTCCATGGGGTCGCAAAGAGTCAGACATGATTGAGCGACTTTCACTTTCACTTTGACCCAACTGTGGAAATTCCGTGCCTCCCTTATCTCATCTATGAAGTGAAGGTGAAAATAGCTACCACATAGAGTTGTTGTCAAGATAAAATATCCTTAACAAGTTTAACATGGTGCCTGCCACATAGCAAATTTTCAGTAAATGGCTGCTATTGGTATTGGGGGTAGAGAAACAATTTGGTGAGGACCAGCTACAAGTAAGACACTGTGTTAAGTTCTTTGCTAGTATTCCTCATTTTTCCTCATGAGAATACTATGTGGTAAATGCTGTCCTTATTCTTGCTTTATACTCGTGAGGAAACTGAGACACACACATCCATGATCACATAGTTAGTAATGGTGAACCCAGGTTGCCTGGCTCCAGACACTTCCGCAGAAAAGAAGGTTGGACTAAATAGTTGAGCTGCCATATTTGCTTAAAACACCTGAGTGGGAGATTTCACCACATTCCCTCTCATTTGCTGACACCAGCCAGTGAACATCCAACATCAACTGGACTCTGTCTCCTTGGACAGGCCCCAGGCTCAGTATGGAGGGATGACCTCTGTGGATAGTTACCCTTGCCCTGGTCTCCCAACTGAAAACAAAAAAGGGGGACAGTTACATAAAGCAATGCTGACCTATATTCTTGACACTCTAAGTTGCTTCTGGATCTCCAGGGCAAACACAGATATTCACTAGAAGAGAAGCACAAACTGATGTTCGATCCACTGTTACCCTCAGATGCCCTGCCATTAGCCCAGCTTGGCTGAGAATCAGTGGATATTGACTGATTTGATTTTGCTACCCGTGTTCCTTCAAGAGAAGACCAGCTGTCCCACCATCAACCCAAATGAAACAAAGCAAAACACATGGGCTAGCCACTTATAATTTCAGATTTTTATGGGAAAAATAAGTTTGCAAAAAGCTGACTAGAATGATTACAGAAGAGTTCTTTAAAGAAATTGTTTACTTTTCTAATATTTAAACACCATCAAATAAGAGTGTTGCCAAATGAGTTTCTGGAGATTAGTTTTAATGAACAAGTGATAAAATCTTGTAAATGTTTCATTCCATACACATAATATTTGTATAGATAAGGTTTGGCTCCTCAAGTAATTAAACATCATCCCCTACAAACTTGTTTTGCTAATTGGCTTAGAAGACATTGTCTCAAAATAAAAAAAGTCTGATTTTTTAATATAAATTATCCAAATTAGCAGATACCTTATTACTGAAGCTTTATGGTTATTAGTTTTAAAATTATTTGCTGTTTTATCTTTTAAAAGAATACTTGAGAAATCTACTGACTAAATCTCCTCTGGAGTTGTTAGCATCTGACAAACAAAAGCAATGACTGGGGAATTCCCTGGTGGTCCAGTGGTTAGGACCAGGCACTTCTTCTGCCCAGGGTGCAGTTTCAATCTCCTGTAGGGAAATGAAGATCCTGTAAGCCTCTTGGCCAAGGGAAAAAAAAAAAAAACAGAGGCTGATAACCAGGATTATCCATGCTCTTTTAATACATGACCTTACTACATTCCTTACAATATCCCCAAACCACTCCATCATAGTTCCCCAACAGGAGTCATAAGTCCAAGTTCAAACACACAGCTATCACTGAATTGTTGAGGGACAACCAAAACATCACTTCAGTTACCCAGGGCTTAGTTTTCTATCTCCTGTAGATAACCGAAC